ATACAGGTAGGAAAAACGGGCATAAAAATAAGTCTAAATGTATATTAAACAGAAATGGTGGTATTTTAGTCTTTAGGGCAGAGATCCTATTTTATGGCCATGTTTCTATTGCCTGTGTGCTTGGTATATGATGGGTTAAAGTTTGATAGATAAGTCATGACATGAAGTTTTATTGCTCATTTATAAGTAGAAGTACAGAAAGGCCCATTACTTCTACAGTTAGCCATTCACATGAAATCGATAGTGAAACAGCTCCTTATCAACCTTTCCTCACTTTTAAGACTAAAGAAAGTACTTTATACTTCCTTGTTTATTCTTAGGACTGAAGGGTGAGTTGCCACTTCTGGAAGAATCTGTACAGAGCCAGAATCACTCGAGTGAGATTCTTCATCAAAAGGTTATGACATTCTCATTTTGATAGTTAGGGTTTGTTCTAGTTTCATGTCTGTTGCTGTAATAAAGACTATACCAGAAAGCATCGTGGGGCGGAAAAGGTTTATTTCATCTTACACTCCTAGGTAACAGTCCATCCCTGAGTCATGTCCAGGCAGGTACTCAAGGCAGGAACCTGGAGGCAGGATCTGAAGCAGAAGCCAGGAGGGGGTTGCTTACTTGCTTGTTTCTTATGACCTGCTCAGCCTGCTTTCTTATACAACCCAGGACTGCCTGCTCAGGAGTGAAACCATCCATTGTGAGCTGACTCTCATACCCAAATCATTCATCAAGAAAATGCTCCATAGACTTGCTTATAGAAATTCTGATGGAGGTGTTTTCTTAATATTCCCAATTCTCAGATATGTCTATGTTTATGTGGTGATTTGAATAAGAATGGCCCACACCTAATGACTTAGGAGGCCCACACCTCCTAATTCTTCCCAAACATTTCCACCACCAGCAGCAGTTCAAGCATTCAAATATATATAAACCTTTTAGTGCCATGGACTCACCCTCAGAAACTGTAAATCCCATTAAATGTTTTCTCCAAGAATTTGATTTGGTCCTGGGGCTTTGTCACAGGAAAGAAAAGTAAGTAAGGCAGTTTGCACCAAGTTGACAAAAACTAAACAAGCAGCACTTAATTTTAACTTCAGCTAATTGAAGACTCTCTTTCCTTTTACTTCAACACTAACAACTAAAAGTATTTGTGGTCAGATGTACTAAAATACACACGCAGGCTTATAGATGAATGGGAGAAGGACATGAAACAGCATAAGCAGAAGTAAAATATCTTACAAATGAGTAATTTCCAACTTTGTTGTCTGGCAAAATTAATTTATTTACAGTCTCACTCTTTTTCGGTCCAGGCTGGCCTAGCTTTTGGCAGTCTTGTCTCAGCTCTTCGAGTGCTAGGTGACAGGAGTGAGTTGGTGAGGTGGTCTGAAGGATAATGCTCCACATAAGCTCTTGAATATTTGGTCACCGTTTGGTGGTAATGTTTAGGTAGAAGGTGTGGCCTTGCCAGAGGAAGAATGTCACTGGGCTGGGGTTTCAGAGTTTAAAGACTAATGCTGTTTGTAGGTTGTTCTCTCTGCCTCATGCCTGTGGACCAAGATGTGAGTGTGCTGCTCCAGCTGTCATACCTGACACTTCCCCGTGATGATGATGGGCTCTTGTGGCTCTGGAGCCATAAGGCCAAACAAACCCTTCCTTTCATATGTGGCCTTGGTCCTGGTGTTTATCACAGTTATAGATAAGTGACTACTACAACCAACACCTGGCCCAGGCAGAGTTCTAAAAAATGTTGAGATTAGAACCATGGTGAATTTCTTATTGACATCTGCTTATTCAAGAAAGGAAAAGAGCCAAATCAAATATAACAGAAATGAATTACTGTGAAGTGGTATATTTTGGTATGAAATGAAAACTAAAAATCTAGATTAAAAGATGCACTATGGGTAGGTAAGATGAAACCAGTGAGGTACATTGGGTAAGTAACACACACACACACAGCCCAAAACATTAGACTTACAAAGTGGCAGCCTATGTTTTTCCTTGTGTGTGTGAGTAATGTATATTTGTATTCACACATGTGTGGGTACTCATCGAGGAAGGGTCTCTCACCTGAACTCAAAGCTCATGGATATGACTAGTCTGGTTGGCCAGCTTGCTCTGGAGATCCTGTCTTTGCTTTCTAATGCTAGGGGTACAAATGAACTCCGCACTTGCCTGGCATTTGTGTGGACTCTGGGCATACAAACTCTGGTCCTCATGCCACAGAAAGTGCTTTAGGCTTCGAACCATCTCCCTAGCCCAAACAGCTCGTTAAAAACATCTTTTTATTATTTGAAAATTTCATACATGTATATGATATATTTTGATCTTATCTACCCACTACCTCCCTCTACCTTCCCCGGGAGACCTTCAAATCCATTTTCCTCTCAACTTCATGTTCTCTTTTTAAATTATTGATAGTCTTGACCAATTATTATTTTTAAGGTTTATTTTTATTAGTTTTAGTTACATATATGTGTGTGTCTCTGTGTGAGTTGTGTACATGTGAGTGCAGGCTCCCAAGGAGGTCAGAAGTGGGAGATTTCCCTGGAGTTAGAGTTACAGAGAGTTGTGAACCACTCAATGTGGGTGCTGGGAAAGAGCAGTATGTGTTACTAACCACTGACCCATCTTTCCAGCCCCGGAGTCTAGTTGTTGTTGGCCATATGTACATGATGTGAGGCCACCCACTGGGGTGCAGCCACATCCACGAAGAAAAAAGTTCCTCTCATTTCCTCAGGAGCTGTCAACTGTCCATAGCTCCTGAGTTATGGCTGGAGCCTCAGGAGTCCCTTTGCCAGTCATGCTGAAACTTTGACTGGCTTGCTCATACAACTCCTAGTAGCTTATTTTTAATGTTTGAACTAATGATGTTTCCAGATATGTGTTTCAAATAAAGGAACATTGTACAGCGTTTGCCAAGATAGTTCCATCTAAAAATATGAAGAGACAAGAAAAACATGAAAAACACATTATTGTCATTAATATCAGAGAAATTCATATTAAAAATATATTCATTTTCACCAATTATGATAGTTGAAATAAAAAGTACAATATCTGATGCAGGCAAGTAAAAACAGTAATGAATATTTGCTTTTAAAAAAAGAAAACATTTTACTTCTTGGCATTATCAAAGAAAACTATGAAAGATTTGCTGTGGAAAGAATAAATATGTATGGATCCAGCCATCTCACTCTCCAAAACAGTTATAAACATTTGCAAAATTTTCCTTCATCTATTAATATATCTGCAGAGCAGCCAGCCCACACAGACCTGGGGCATTCACATGTCAGAATATTCCATAAAGATCTGGGAACAGATATTTTTGGCAGAAAGAAATGCTTAATGTGCCGAGAATGACTGTCTACAAAGTAATTCAGGGTTACTGAGTTACTGAGTCAGGGACTCCTTGCAATGACAGAGTGTCAGTCTACAACATTCTTCACAACGTTCAAATCCTCTATTACAGACTCAACAAATGGAGCTGGTTTTGTTATCTGTTGCCAAATAGGTGGCAAAATATGAAGGAGAGGTAACAGTGAACTTCTAAAGCTGCTTCACAACACTATGGTAACGTCTATTTTGACAGGGAAAGAGAACTAGGTGTGGTGGCACTTGCTTGTAACCCCAGCACTGGAGAGGCTGCTAACTTTGCCGACCTGGTAAATTCCGGGTCTGTGTGAGATTTAATAATGTCTTCTAAAAAACGAAGGAGCATGGCTCCAGGGGAACACCACCCAAAGTTGCTATCTGGTGCCAAGTGTAGACAGAAAGACAGACAGACAGACAGACAGACAGACAGACAGTTTCTCTCAGCATACTTTTCCCTGTGCGCTGATCCTCCAGGATTGATCCCATATGGCAGCCCCATGAATATGAAAGGTTGATCAAGCCTTTGATATCTCAGTGGGTGTGAGCAGCTCTGAAAGTCCTTTTAGAAGCCATCAGACGAGATCTAAGCATGTCGTCTGTGGACTTATTCGTGGGTTCTGAAATGTGCAGTTTTTGTTGATGGGAGGTGGTGTCCAAGACCACTTTGTGCCCTTTACCCCAGATACCTGCTCAGCTATCACTTCCTGCCAGAGGTCTTCTCTGACCATCTTCTCCAGCCAGAGGACTCACCCTCAAAATTTTCTCATCATTGCTTGCCGCTGAGTTCCCGACAATCTGTCATTACCTTGTTTATCTACTCAAGTTCATCTACTCAATTAGAAGGCAAGTTTCCCCGAGAGGAGGATCAGGGCTTCCGGTGCCTTGAACTTTGAACCCGAGGGGCTTCCACAGATACTTTGGGATTGAAGAACATGTCTACGATTTGAGTGTGTGTGTGGTGTGCGTACAAGTCTCACACTGATAATTCAAACTCCATCACAGGCTCCAGGGTACCTGGGACAACGGGCGTACAGCATCATACCAGGTTTTATGCTGGGAATGGCACCTAGGGTTACAGGTATGCTAAGTAAGCACCCTTCTAACTGCGCTACAGCCTCAGCTGGAAATTTCTTTAAAAACAGGTATTTTCATTTCGTTCAGCCACACCCACCCTCCACATCCTTTCCCAAAGACTACGCGCCAGGTGCCTCACTTATCCAAAACCTCCCACCAGACCGCTTAGAGGCCACCTGGCTAAGTACGTTTCCGAAACGCTCGGATACCAATGTTCGGGACCAGGCCCAGCTTGAGCCAATGCGTGTCGAGCGTGTCGCCTTCCCTGTCACCCGCTCCATCATCTGGTGCGAGCCCTGCGCTCCGAGATCCAGCCAGTAGCCTCTAAGCCGCGCGCGTCCGCTACTCCGCCGCCCGCCACAACTACTTCCGGGTGAGCGGGTCGCCGGCCGGTGGCCCCGCCCCTCTGCCCCGCCACCGCCGCAGCTGCAGCCGCCGCTCGGGCTGCTGCTCATCCCGGGTCGCGTTCGCCGCGTCGGCCGCGGCGCGAAGGCGCCCCGAGTGTGACTGCGCGACCGGCCGTGGCGCGAGGAGCCCTTCTTTTGCCTCCCTGCGGCCCGCGGGGTGGACGGTGCGGGGATAGAGTGTGGCCGCCGCTCCCCTCTCTCCGCTCCCGGGCGGCCGCTCCGGCCCTTCCGGGCGGCGCCGCAGCCTCATCCCGCGCCACACGCAGGTAAGGGCAGGCGGCGGGCCCGGCTGTCTCAAGGCGCTGCTCAGAGGCGGCTCCGGGCTGGGGTCGCCTGGTGGGTCCCCGGCTCCCGCTTCTCCCGCCCCCCGCGGGGGAAGAAGGGGTTACGCCCCTTGGACCGGGCATCACTTCGGACAGCTGGGTGCTCCAGCTCCCGTTGCTCCCGGCGCCACACTCTCTCAGACTCTTTCCTCAGTCTGTCCCGGGAGGAGCCGCCCGGGGAACGGTGTCAGGCCGGTGGAGGGCGTAGCTTTTTAAGTGAGATTCCCCCCTCTCCTGCTTCCTTCTTGATCTGAACTGAAGCGCGCGCGGGCTTACCAGGCTCAGGGCAGGACGGTCAGGGTTAATGCTTGACTAGTACCGGGCGTTATTTACACCCACATTGTGGAGTTTCATAGCTCCAGTCAGGCCTGGTTTCCCATTGCTGAGGCTATCCAGCAGGAAGCAGGGGACATAAGAGAACGCAGAGGAGAAAAGTTCAAGCGTTAGCTTTATGTATTTTTTTCCCCACCTGGAGACATATAACGCTGAAACATGGCTAAAGGGTATCCCAGACCTTGAGTATTTGTAGTCCCTTTTGATTTTCGCATTAAGTGACTCAGCATTTTTGCATTTTAGGTTGATTGAAAACTATGTAAGGATAACAGTGACTGCTCTTCATGTTGTGTTATCACAGTGAGAAGAGATGCAGCCAGGACAGATGCATTCTTAATCAGTGTTTGACGTTTTCTCCCCAGTAGGTGTGAAAAGCTGCAATTACTGAAGAATGCATAGAGTTGCAGGAAGAGTTAGTTGGCCGAGTTTACCGTGGCTTGAATGTCTTGCAGAGTTAGCCCTACTTAACCAGCAACATGCTCTGTTTAACAACTACAGAGAGACGATGACCTCGCATTTAATACACTCATGCCGAGTAAGAATTTCGGAAAGTGTGATTCATGTAGGAAGTTAGGTCACACTCTGTGACTCGTTGATCTGGATCTTCACATTGAAACAGTGGAAAGCCAGTCCCCTTCTGCCCGTTTAATTATATAATTGTACTCTTTTTATAGCAAGTGATGTATAATGTTTGCTTCTGTTTGTTGCTGGGTGGTTATTGTCATGCACTGTGGCATGGAAATAAAACGTTAAAATTTGCATAATGTTTTTGTTTTGTAATCCTTTGTTAGTTACTAAATGGACTGCTGTGATTTTAAATCTCCCTCTCCCCCTTTTTTTAACCAGATGTGGGAAGACAAATGAAGGGATTTAGAAGCCAAATAAGTGTCAGTGGAAAGGAGAGCTACCATCACTAAGGTACGAAATAGTACCGTAGAAGAATCTGTACCATATAAAATAGCTTTTTGAGTGGGAAGCTGAAGAAGCACTTTGTCATCCTATCCTTAAAGATATTGAATGAGGCTATACTAACTTCTGTCCTGAAAGGAATTGTGTTGAAGTTTTGGTTTATTTTTAGAATTGACTAATTTCAAACTAGAAGTAACTTTTTATTGATGCTATGTCATTTGATCATTTTAGTCTTTCAAAATGAGATGCCAAAAAAACCTTTGAATCCACAGTTCTTGATAGCGACAACTTTGTTTTCTGTTTTTTTTTCTCCTTTGTAGAGTCCTGATTATATTACCTTGTTAGAAGTTCTATTGACTAATTGTAAAGTAATACCAAATGTATTGGTGTTGCTTAAGACAGACGTCTCTTTGATTCTTTCAATAAATTTTTGGCATCTTTCTCTCTTTGGATATCGATACTTAAATTCAGAGTGTTCTCTAATGTTGCTTTTTATTTCTGTTCAGCTGATAGGATGATGGTTCTGTTCGTTGTTAACAGAAAATCCCTTTTGGAAAATCTCTTATGGAAATCTTCATTGGAGATAGTCTTGATGCATACGCTCGCTCGTAAGGGAAGTCTTTTCAGGTTAGGATTTAAGCATCTCCATAATGAAGGGAAAAGAGAAAGAAAGGATATTTGGTAAGGTGTCTCTCTTTTGCAACACAAAAACAAATTTTTTTTTTCATTAACTTAGGATGGAAAAGTGAGTGATTTCTTGTAAAGATCTTTGTGAATTGCTTACCCCCCTCCTTGTATGAAAAGGGACAAATTTGATGACATCATGGGGGAGCGGGGATGATTGTCCTTATGCCATTAGAGAGTTTTGGTGAGGATTAGCTAATAGGAAATAAAATTCTTCTGTCCTTATCCAAGGAGTGCTATCTGTTGCACCTACTCAACAATTCCGTTGGTAGCTTTTTTTTTTTTTTTTTTTTTGTAGTTGCTTTTTCTCTGGAGAGTCTGAATGATGGAAGTGATCCCTTATCTGTGAAAACATACTACCTTATCCGCTATGTTTGCAAATAAAGACTAGACTGACCATTATTCAAAGCCTAGCTTTTAAAACTTTAGAAGGAAAGGAATTGAGCAGAGTTTAGCTTGTGAGTAAAATGTCTTTTTTCCTTTCCCCATTTCCCCCCCTTAAAGCTAATAGAAGGCAAGACCATCTTGGGAAGTGAGTGATTGACATTACACTTTAACCTTTCAAGCTTTCTGGTCAATGGTAAATTAGTCTAGACTTAAAGCAATTACACACTAGGCTAAAATTATAAATTGTAAAGTTGGGTTTATCATGTGAGAGTGCTATTTCTTGGACAGTCACTGAAGCTCTGTACCTGTGTATGGTCTTCTTCTAGTCTAGGGATCGGGAAAGAAATAGGTAAATAGGCACCTGGAAAGAGAGACGAAATGACATCCATAGAAAGAGAACTGATGATGTGGGCTCAGTGACATTTGTGAACCTTTTAAAGATTGATAAAACGTAAAAGAAATGGTCATACGAAGAAAAAAAAAATCCTTTCCTTTGTGCACAAACTTTTTACCTTCCCATAACCGTATTTACCAGTCCAGGCTACTATAGTTAATGTTTTTTTCATATATTTTCCTCCCTCATGTTTTCAGTGACATATACAATTGCATGTGTTTACAAGTGTCTTTTACCTGTGATGTATCTGAGATATGTTTCCATATTAGCATCTACTCCAATCTCATTTTAAAAAGACTGGATTTATTCGTTTTCCATAGTTTTACTAATTCCATGTTAGTAAACATTAGGTCATTATTAGTCTTTTGTAAACAGCGCTATAAGAAAAACTTTTAAGCCAGTGTTTGACCATTTATAAGTCTATCTGTAGAGTACAGTTTTGAATGTATGACTGGGAAGTTGGTCCTTAGGTTGTGAACATGAGAAATTTGTTTTATATTTGACTTTATTTTATAATAGAAGATAATGTTTTCTCAGGCACAGGAGGAGGAAGAATTTAAAAAGTTATGTTCTTTACCTGTCTCTTCATTTTAAAAAGTATTGTGAACTAGGCTTTATATCATCTGCCTCTTGTCAACATTTGGGAAGCTAAGCCAGACGGAGAGTTTGAGGCTACTATGATCTATACAGCATGTAGTAAGACCTTGTCTCAAATAAAATTGCAAACGTGTTTTATAAGTTAATTTAAAGCATTTTGGAGTGGTAGATGATTAAATTGGTAAATGTCAAAATACTATAGTTGAAGACTGGTGTTGACAAACATAAACTACTCATATTTGGTAAAATGTCTGTATCTTGTAGGTTTGTTTCAGAGTTTATATTTTCTGTTAATTAAAAACTTATATAGCTGGGTGTGGTGGCACACACCTTTAATCCAGCACTTGGGAGGCAGAGGTAGATCTCTGTGAATTTAGGGCCATGCTGGTCCATATAGCCACTTCTAGGCCTGCTAGGGTTACATACAAAAAACCTAAACGAAACCACCACCATCAACAACAAAAATTAGTCATAAGAGAAAGAAATGACCCAGAGTTTCTTCTTTATCTTCGACATCCTACTTTAAGTAGAGTGAATGATAGAACCTGAGAGCCAGAAATTCTTTTGCAATGCAGAGCACTGCTGGTAGATTCCTTTGTCAAAGCAGGAAGTAGGTATAGATTTAGACTTTATCCAGCAAAGAGTTGGTAAGCAGAATAAGGGAGGTTCAAAATTTAATTTGAAGTTCTGCAGGTGACTCATGGCCAGGCTTTTGTCCTTTTGAAATGAGACAGAGAGAAAGTACTGAGAGGCTCGAGTGTGGTGAAGCTCATGAGTGGCAGTTTCCCTGGATGCTGTCCAGGGTCTATTTTGAGGCCCTGTCAAAACTTGCCTGACGGATCTACCGCATAACCGTAATCTGGCCTGGCCCTGCTGCAAGTCAGGAAGGCCTGTGGTTTAGGGAAAGTGGCAACTGCAAAAGAGGGAGTTTTGAAGGGAAGCCTTCAGAAGACTGATGCTAAGTTTTGGGCTAACAATCTGCTGAGCACATTGTATTACGTAACCTAGCATCCAGGTGTTTTCTGTGTTAGCATCCAGGGTTTTGTTTTCTGTTATTTGTTTACTTATTTTTGGAAAGAGTTTGATTGTAGAGAACTAAAGAGGAATTTTTTAGAATCGTGTGCCTAAGGAGGAACACAGGATTGTTCCAGCTTAATGGTTTATAGTCTGGTTCAGGAAGCATTTGCCAAGAATCAGTTACAATGATTGACTGTGTGTGTGTGCAACACACACACACATACACACACACAGACACAATATGTTATGAATGCAGGGAGGACACATCCTAAGTTGAAATTATCTAACTCAAAGTCTTTTACACTTTCTACTGGGATCTTGGAATACGACTGTTTTACAGGAGTGTTTAGAATTCACACAGCTAAATTATCTTCTTACTCTATTTCTCCCATGAAAGAGTTGTGAAATCATATATTTTATTTAATTTTCTTCATTTTATTTTGTATGCATGTGGGTGTGGGTATGTAAGGTAGAGGACAATTTGAAAGATTTGGGTCTCCCACTGTCTGGCTCCTGGGGATCAAATTCTGGTTGTGAAGCTTAGGACAAACAAGTGAGCCTTCTGGCTCTGAAGTTATACCTTTAAACTCTTGCTTTTTAGCTGGCTACATAGTTGTCTCTTTGTGCTGTGTAGTGCATGGGAACTTTGATGTTTTCTATGTTTAGTGACACTTAGGTTTAAAGTTCTCTAGGTGATCTCACTTCTTTGACTAGAAAGCTGTTGAACAACTTACTGTTACACCCTCTGACCAAGGTTCACCTCCTGGTTCACTGCTGAGCTGTTCCACAGTTTCTGAAGGATTCAGCTTGTAGCTGTACTTTATAGGTGTGAACCCACGGATGGGTGGTTGCTGGTCGTTTGTGTTGCGTTAGGTTATCACCTCAGGGTATTTACTTTTGGGGTCATTAGCATTTCATGGTGATGTCTTTAGGATTTAATGTAAGAAGTGAGCAATAGTTTCTTTTTCTTCTGTTATTTGGTTTGTTCTTATCATCTCGATTTCCTCCTTAGAACAATAAAACAAAACAAAAAAGAGAACTCGGTGGACTGAGTATGGTCAAGAATTGGGAGAACCCTTTAAGTGCATGTCAAGGTATTTTATTTCCTGAGAGGCGAGCTGCTCCATGCCCCTGCAACACCAGGACAGGATCCCAAACTCAGTCTCCATTGTTCTCATTTTGGACCTTGTGTATGTCTTAGGGTTTCTTCAAACGAGCTTCACTTTTTACGCTAGTTTTGATGCCATGGATATATCTAGTGCTTTTGAAAACTGAATTTTTAGGCTGTTTTCTTTAGGCAGTTATTCTTTCTGTAGTCCCCATTTTCACATAGAAACATTTTAACAGCTAGGAGTTAAAGTGTACTGTCTACAAACAATAAGATGTTAAGATACTTATTTTCCTGTTAAACGGTTTAACTATGTTTAATAAAAATTGAATAAATTTAGCAAACACATGTTGTTACCTTTCAAAAAAAAATTAAGTACTCCAGCTAAGTGGTTCAGTAGTTGTAGGATTAAAGATAAATATTTCAGTTTCAAATAGACTCCTCCCCCCCAGCCCAACTCCATGTCATGGGTAATGCTTTATCTGTGTGGACAATTAAGGAAATGAGGCCACTGTCTTCTTGTCTTGCCAAATTTATTCCTTGCAATCCACCTAGTTTATTTTATGTATTTACTTTTGATTGTGGTAAAACTTAAGTAGCATTGCCATATTGACCTTTTCCATTCTTTTCATTGTGGAAGATATATGCAATGTATGCCTCTACCCCCTTTTTGAGTGATGGGGGATGGGTCCAGGGCCTTGCACATGCTACAGAAACCCTCCGTCACTGGTCTCCTCCATAACCTCTAAACCGAGTGTAATTGTACAATTCTGTGGCATTACAGTGCATTCAGAGTGTGGGGCAGCCGCCCAAGCATCTCCA